GCGGTGCTGCCCTGTTGTTATATTGCTATATCCTTGCTATTCCTGCGGAACAGGACTCCTCTTGTTGTTGCTGCTGCTAATTCTGCTCTTCCGCTTATTTTCTGCAGTTGTAGTTGTAGCTTGTCGTCGCTGGCATTGCGAGCATTTTGCCGCACTTAGCGCAGCATTTGCATAATTTGTGCTGCCTGCATATATTTTTGGGTCAGCGATGAGTTTTTTGCTTTTTGTGGGCAGAAAGCAGAAAGGGTGGGTTAAAGTATGTTAAATATATCAGCAGAGTTTCGGGAGATTTCGCGTTGGGTTATCATGCAAATTGCGCCCCGTGTAAGTCGCTTAAATTTTCGGCTTTGTGTGCTTAATTAAACGCTTCCCGCTTATTGGGGCAAATTAGTGTGTATTTTTAAAGCCCAGTCTTTGAGCCACCCCAAGCTATTCACTCAGGCACGCGTTGGCTGCACGTGTCTCCAACACCTGGAAAACTGACAAATGCACGGGGAGAAAAGTCTTGGGCAAGTCACTCACTTGGAAAGTTTTTACCACGAAATCGGGGGAATATAAATATTATAGTCGCATTTTTAATAGAAAAGTAGTAAGTAAATTTTAATGTTACCATTAAACTCAAGTTTAAGTTTTTTTGGCTTTATAAAATAGTTTTAAAATGTTTTTTAGGTAAACAAAATTTAACTAGCAATTTTATTTAGCATGTTTAAACACAAGATGACTAGATAAGATGAATAGCACATTTCTTTCTTAAATATATTTGGCAAGGACTAATAAGCAGGTAAAAAGTAATCTATTTATGCCGAGACAATTACTGGTATTAGTAGTATTTTCTTGCTCTGTAGCAACAGGTAAACTGGCAACTGGCAACTGGCACCTGGCACAATGGCAGTCGACTTGGCAACTGTCGCGTTTCATTCACTTTCCGCTGAGGCTCGCATTTGTTCGAGTGTGCGTGTGTGTGTGTGGGTGCGAGTGAGTGTGTGTGCCCAGTGAACTGTATGCAAATATGTACACCTGGTCTATATGCGTGTGTGTGCGAGGTGTGTGCGCGTGTGCGTGTGTGCGTGTGTCTCCGCTTGCGAATCCTCTTGTGCTGTTGCCTTTGTGCGTTGTCAGTGTGTCACTGTGCCAGCAGCTTGTGCAGTTATTGTTGCTCCTCGCCGCCCACCTGCCCAGCCACGCCCTCTTCACCTTCCACCCCTTCACACGCCCCCCTGGCGCATATCCCCCAGTCGTTATCCTTTCGGTTCGCTGAATGTTTTTGTGCTGATTTTGCGCTTATTTTAAATGTCTTTTATGCATGTTGTTTTTTGTTTTTGTTCGCTGTTCGCTGCTCGCTCCCTTAGCTGCTTTATTTTTGTTTACGTTTTTGTTTTATGCTTTTTATTGTTAATTATTTAAAATTGCAGAGCTCAGGCTGACTGAATGACTGGCCGCTTGGGCGTGTGACTCTGGCTGTCGGTCTGTTGTCGGTCCTCGCGAAAATGTCTGTTTTCCATATCCCTTTGGCCTCCTTTTCCCCATGTTTTTCCGCCCCCAATATTGGAGCCTCACATCCGAAACGCGCGCTTATTGGAATTTTATTTCTGGATCGCCGTTTTATATGTGGGCGGAGTTTTTTTGAACGTTTCACGTTTGCATTTCCCTCGGCTTTAATAATGGTTTAATTTTTGAAATTGTTTTTAAATCGGCTTATTTGAGGTGTGCCGCACACAGCTGGGCCCCATCTGCATGTATCAACTTCGTTCTCATTGGCTCTGCAGCATTTTTTGGGCTCATGTATTTTTCAAGGATAAATATGCAGAAGTTGGGCATTGCTTATCTGATTTTTTGGGGCGAAATATACCGATTGAAGTTCTGTTTTACTATTTCTGTAAACATTTTTCATAACTAATATATGCACAGATTTTATCTTTACGGGAATGTATGAGATAGTAAAATAATATGGAATTTATGCCAATAATAAAAAAGCACTATTTGTGGCTTATTTCCACTACAATTTCTCTTTGCAAATTCGACACAGAAGTTTTACTAGGGAATTTCTAACTAAAAGTTAGGATGCCAAAATTCCTAATTAATATTGAAAGCGAAACGGGTGGGGCTAAGTAAATTATTTGTGAATCAAGGGGTAATAGAAAATCCCCAACCAGAGTTCGTTACCCCCAACTGTATCAACTCCACTCTTTGAAGTTTGTTTTGCTGCTTAACCACTTTGTAATCATATCAGTTACAGTAACTAATCCCCGGCTGGTGAAATGGGAACCCTTTCCCTGCAGCTCTGGGCCCATTCATTCATTAGGCAAACATTGACCGAAGTAATCTACATAAAAACCACTTGAGTGAAAAGTTGCACTCCGTTGTCTGCTCATTGTCTATTTTAGCCGGGCCCATAAAAACCAGAGTCCAGAGTCCAGAGTCCAGACCCGGATGTCGATCCGTATCCTGGCAGTTTGAGTGCTGGTGCCCAGCGACATCGGGATTATTTAGCGCATTTAGAAAATAGGTTAACAGACGCTTTATATTCATATAGCCACGGCACTGCGAACTTTATTCGTTATAATGACGTTGGCAAAACTAACGCAAAGTGCGACGAGAGTCGAGTCTCGGCCAGCTTCCATTAAGCGAATGATCCCACTTAATTAAATTTAAATTAGGAGCCTAAAGTTGAACGTCACGGACGTTTAAGTGGCATCGAGTTGAAGAGCGCGACTTGGCTTATTTAGTGGGGCCGAAAACAAAAAGGCGCCGAGATAAGTGAAACGAATGAATGGACATTTAGGCCGGCGGAGCAGCAGAGCTGCTGCATCGTTGTCTTGCCGAGCAGCACTTCCTTTAATTAAATAATTATTTTGTAGCCACTTGCTGATTACTTTTCGCCCCGGTCTCGCCTCTATTCATTCGCAACTTAGCACGTTGCTGGGATCCGCAGATACGGGTTACTGTTTACGGGATACTGGAAAAACTGAGCTGGCTCCGTGGAACTGACCTTTGCGAGTGCCCCCGGTAATTTACAGCTCGCCACATGATAGGCATCGCCCGGAGTTGGGACCTTCAAAATTTGCCTTTCAAAACGAGCTCGCTCCCACACAATGTTTTCCTTTTTTTCCCCAGTTCACTCTGGTTTTTCCCTTGTCGTCGGGCACGTGCCAGCCGTGAATGGAAAAACAAAACACGATGGCAGGTATTTAGCGAATCCGGCGAGATAAAAATGTAACAGGAAAATTATTAGGCCGCAGATAAAATCCATAATATAAGGCAGCTCATTTGCATTTCAATGAGGTGATTAGCATGCCAATGTCATGCCGAAAAGCCAAGGTAACCATGCCCAATAATTAAGGATATGTGTGTTTTTGTGGATACCAGCTATCAATACCAATTTATAAATGCGACATATGATTAGATGCGAGCATGTTTTGTTTTCGTTTTAGCATTTATAATAATGTCTCTCTTTTCATGTTTTGTATGCCAGGAATTGACTTGCGTTGTAATTAGCTTAAGTCCCTCAGCGAAAAGACGCACTCGTGGCAATCAGAAACAAGTGACCCTATAATTGATAATTTATTTTTTCCGCCTGCGAAACTGACAATTTCCCATGCCAACAATGTCAAAGCCACAAATAATGAGCACAAATTCCGCTGTTTATATTAATGCTCGTCAATACCCAAAGGTCGAAGTCACTAAGTCATTCCCTCAGCCAGTCAGTGAGTCAGTCAGTCAGTCAGTCAGTCAGTCAGTGAGTCAATGGGGCCTCGACAAATTTGGCAACTTACAAAAAAGAGGGCCGAGCATTTGTCGCTGTTCATTTGCAGCTTACAATTCCTTCCACTCCTTGAGATTTATTTTCCCTTCGTCCTTTGCTTTTTTGGTTTTGTTGGTGGCTTTGTAAGTTGTTTGGTCACACACAGCACACTTAAATTGCGGCTTTTCTTGCTTAGCTTTTTCCTCGACTTTTTTTCTTGAGAAAATTATTTGGGAATTGGCTCTTAAGCGACTTTTACATTTGCATAAGCTGGCACACAATTTTTAAAATGATTGCCGCTACTTTATTATCACTTAATGCGCGCTCGGTTTTCTTTTTTGCTCAGCTTTATCTTTTCCTTATTTTTTTGTGCCTTTGCCCAGCGGTTTCTTTTATCACTCGACTCGATTTCGGTTTCTGAGCCCGATCTGCAGTTCGTTGAGGTCCGTCTTCCGATTTTGCGAGTTTGCGATTTCCCGATTTTCCGATTTTCCGATTTCCCTAGACCGCTAGAGAGCCAGCATCCTTGAGACTTTCCGCCGTAATCGTCCTGTTTGACGCGCGCACGACTGAGTACTGAGTTGGATGCTGAGCAGGTGTGGTTGCGAATGGAAATCCGGCCGAGCGACAAAGCTACAAAAACGCCGCCGCTCTCTCGGCGTTCGGAAAAACTCGGAAAACCCGCAGCCTCCCGCGCTCACTGTACTAAAAAGGGCGGCTGGGAGAGAGATTTCCCGTTGCGGAGAGCGAGCGCACACGCACTTGTCTGCAAAGTCGGCCAAAATGCGGGAGAATCCGCCTGCAGACGCCTGTTTCTGGCAGTGTTACTGACCTAGTAACCGTTTTTTTTTCAAGTTTACTCTTTGCCAGGACATAACAACAACAACGGCAGCTGGAGCAATAACCACTGGAGTACATCTTGTCGTTCTCTGGTCGGTTGCCCTTTTTATTGCCCGCTCGTGAGTGCAGCACAATCTGCAATTGTTGCTGTTGTCGCTGGCATTTGGTAAGTTGTTAAGCGGCCAAATCCAAGTGTTAGCCGGAATCCATAACAGCAACTGAGGAGCTAAGCGGCCGAAATCAATTAGGGCGCTTTACTAGACCCCTTTCGATTGCTGGCCAAGCTAAGTACCTTCGAGACTATGCATATGGCACTTATTCATCAAGAAAACGATGTGCAAACATAAAAATTATACCATTGAATTATTAGGTATAAAAAGCTGCATTTATTTTGTGCCTTTAAATCAGCCTATGTTACTATGCAAATATTTACTTAACATACATTTTACACTGTCAAACAATTTTCTTGAAACCATACACACTTAGATATGTCATGTTGCATTACAAAACTAAAAAAGGCGCCACATATATGAGTGAGTAATGTATCGAGATAGGGCTGGAACAAGTAGGATGGCACCTGCATTGCTGACCATTTTCTCAGTGATCCAGTTCACATTGCTATACACATTGGTGTACAAGGATGGCAAGTTTCTGACGCCGCAGCCATCGAGAATACTCACGATCCCATAGACCGTGCCATTGTTCATCATGGGGGCACCCCAGTCGCCGCCACAAGGCTGCTGGGAAGTACGATTATCATTGTCCACGGCGCACACGAACTCAGTATCAGGGACACTCAGCATCCTGGCGCACCTCTCGGAGTCTATCACCTCCACGTCGATGTAAAGCATATACGAGGCAAGCGGGCCACCCTAAAGGAACACACGTTTAAATTACTTAACAAATTAACAAGCACAATACACTCACCTTGAACATTCGACCCCATCCCATGACCTTGCACTTCAGACCTGGCAGCGGTGGATTGTCGGGCAATCTGGCTATAGCAATATGCTCATTATCATTTGGGAACGGCTTCTGCACCTTTAACAGTCCGAAGGGCTGATTATTGCGCATTGTGAAGCTATCGGGCAACCAAATGTGGGATACAGGAGTAACAAAAGTTCTGCCCGGTATGTATTTCAGCCGATTGAGAGTCGCAGCAACAACCAGCAGGATGCGACTGGATATCAAAACCCGTCGCTTGCTGCAAATTAGTAGAATAATAATAAGTCATTCCAGGTAGTTCACATACCCACTTAATCAAGCAGTGCGCGGAGGTCAGGACGAACATGGGAGCCAGGATAACGCCTGAGCAGAAGTGATTGTCCCCAAAGAATTCGTCGGCAGTTCGCGACCTTATGGAAACGCAAAAACTCGACAACGGAAGGGAATCGTCATCGAAATCGCCATCGGATAGGCGCTTTTCGCGATTTAAGGAGGCTAAAGATGCATTTCTAGCAGTATTTCCCCGGCAGTTAGAAAGTAGAAGTAATAAAATCCCTAGCAAAAGCAACAAATTTTGACTACACATGACGATTTTAAAAGGGTTTTTTGTGATAAAAGAAATAATGTGTTTTGCCTTGACATCAAAGTAAAATATGTGTCAGAATCGCTCACTTTTTATTGCCACTAGAAAAACAATTTATGCTTGGATATCGGCTGTAACAGATTATTTTAAATTTTGCTTGCTCATTTAGTCAGGGCGTTTAGGGCCACTTTAAGCCATTAAGAACAAACATTTTACAATTTCTCTGTGTACACGCATTCCTCTGCAGAATTTAGAGTGCCCCGAGAAGTGGCTGCAACAAAATTGGAGGGATTAGGTAAGCGGCAGCAGAACAAACCGTTTTACATGGCAATTATGCAGGAACAAGCCTGACCCATGACGCCTGACCCTCGGATGCTGGGCTGTGTAGAACTAGACCCATTTTAGCAGCAGTCAATTCAAGGATGAAGGACGAGAGTCCTGCAGGAGCAACATGTGTGCACGCGCCGCTGCTCATTGGAAATTCAATTTTCAATAAATGCACACAAATTGATTTCCAGCTCGGGGCCTTTCAAGCGGAGTTACGAACACAAACGCACACACCTGCTCCTGCACACACACACACACTCTAGCACACACACACCTACACCTGCACCCACACTAACAGCCGCATTAAGAGCAAAACTTTTCAATTTACGTTCTGTTGTTTTTCGAGCATCAAATATCCCCGGCCGTCAAAGTATTTGTCGAGAGATTTTCGCCTCCACCAGGGGGATGGATTTTTGCGCCCCGATTTTCGATCTGATCGCCGGCCCTTTTATCTCCGCGGCACGTTATTAGACTTTTTGTGCGCCACTTAACGCCATGCCCGCCCTATTCGAATTCCGAAAAATTCCGTCGAATTCCGTACTCAGTAGTACTCCATTCGCACACCTCCGCTTGCCAAATTATTCCATATGCCACACGTATGCACGCTTATCCGCGCCTGAAATTCCGCATCATGCAGCGCAAACACTTGTTAATTACTTTTATTATATCCACAGCTTCACTTGCACAGTCACGCAATTCATCGGCTGCGAATCCGCATCCGCATCCGGGTCTGGGTATGGCGATGGGTACGGGCATGGGCATGGGGATTCCGGGCGCCATGTCCCGTATCCCGGACAAGTGGGCTCCGGCGACGAGTGCGGCATTATTGCCTGTTGCTTTTGCCAGTGGCACTGCTACACCACAGCTGATGTGGTCGGCCGTAAACATGCGGCAGCGAATGAGTGGGCGTGGGATTCCGCTGGGCTGCACACTGCGTATGCCGCACTCCCCCCACTCCTCACCCCGTGCCCAATACTCCGCCGTAGTCGACAGTAACGGGTCGTCGTCACACACAAGTAATTGCAATCAGCACCTTGGCAACAAGCAGCTGCGCCAAAATGACGGCGAAAGGAAGAAACTCGGCCACGGACGTATTTATTTATAAGGCAACCCGTAACTCACGGTGCGTGCTGCCGTATATCTTAACACCTGAATGCCAAACGAGCTCTTGGAACTCAGCTCAAGCGAGCGGATTTAAATTTATTGCTAAGTAATGAGATTTCATTCTTATTTCCTCTTGATTTAAAGCACATTTTTGGTCTCTTTTCGACGGCCTTCTAGTGTTAAACGGTCATCTGCCCGCCATTTATATGCTAATTGAGAATTTTTAATTGTAATTTCTTTCGCACTCAGAGAAAATCATAATAGGATAAGAATACAAAAGCATTCATCCCCATAAGGTAATATACATCTTTCTTATCATCATTGTTATATAAAGCGTATTTGATTTATCCCAAAGCACTATATATGTATTTTTGGGGGAGCTTTGCCAAAGGGCCTACTTTATAAAGCGGACAATGGGGCGTATGCTTTATGTTTGCGAACGCCCCCTGGGTAACCACGCGGCGTATACGCAACGCCAGCTAAGCCAATTTCGCAGCGGAATGAGTGGCGCAATTATGCGGCCATATTCCATGTGGAAATTAACGCGAATTGCCAGCAAGATTGGCATTGTTTTCGTCGCGTGTCACGAGTGTCAAGCGTGCCGCAAATCGATTGAAATCAAATGTGCAACAATAAAGAGCGGCGCAGGTCAGAGCTACGTGAATCGTATCGATTGGTTGTCACTTGAGATGCGGCCGTGTCAGCACAGAGTGGTAATAATTTAGCAACTAATTAAGCGGCGGAAATGGGGAGATACACAGATATTGCACAGATAGTGATACAGATACTGACACAGACTCAGATACAGATACAGATACTGATACACATACAGAGACAGATACGGACAGGCATGGACACAGATTTTTCCCACACACAAACACACACACAGATGCATAGATTCCATACAAAATGGCGAACGCACACAGAGAGAGAGATGGCTTTTCCAATTAAATTTATAACTTATTTATGATGGCAAGTAATCTTCTTTGGGCATTAGGAGATGTAATAAAAATGATTGAAATATAATTGAGAATTGACATAAAAGCCAAACAAACACACAATCATCCCACACCACACCACACACCACACACCACACACACATACACGCGCGCAAACACATCTAGCTTATAAAATCCAGTCGGCTGGCTTGGCAGGCACTTACAATCAACGATTACCTTTACACCTGCCATTGTGAAAATAAGCCATAAGCGGAAATTACATCAAAAGGATATTGTTATATCGATGAGCAGCCATCGAGGAGCAGGCGTCACAGCTGTATCCGAAAAGCAGCCAAATAGCAGAAAAATAAAGTATGGCAAAAGGTGCCATAAAATAAATAACACGAGGTACCAAATAAACATTTTGGCCAGGACGAGGCTTCCAGCATCCAGCATCCAGGATCCAGCAACCAGAACGAATCCGGAACTTCGATGTGCCATGTGGCATGTGTGCAGGGCTGTGTGTGTGTGGGTGCTCTGTGGGGCGGATGTTTTGGCATAAAATAGACTTATCCTAATGAAAAAAGTCTCGCAGGCACGTTAAGTAAGATATGTGATACCAAGAGACTAGGTTCTGTGGGGTGGGCCAATGGCTGAAAACTGGATGCCGAAGGCAATCTTTAAGGCGTCGAAACGTTAAAAGTTAGGCCTGGCAATAGTGAAAGCTAAGCGGCTTATGGCCCCAACAGCATTGGCAACAAGGACATCGAGAACAAGGTGAAACAAGGACTCTTAAAGATTGCCAATGGGGCCGATTTCCTCAGACCCATTTGCCTAGTTTGCCCAGATACGATAAGAATTTAAATTGAAATAGTTTTTACGCTAGACACTGGCAGCAGAGATGACGACACGAAATTCGTGTGTTCCTGTTCCGACTAATTTTGTAATTTATGCGGACCCACAATTTACATAGGCAAATGAATGCCGACGGAACGTGCACCAACCTCCAGGGGCTTTTAGTTGTATTAACCAATGTTGATGCCCCAAAGATAGCTTGGAACACAGGTAAGTATCTGTTCAACATCGCTGGCATATTTGCGAATACTGCCAAGAAGGCATAAAGAATTCACATCCACGCTGCATTCCTTATTTGGGTCAATTGGCGAGCATCGGAACTTTATAGCAATGCCGCCCTGGCCGGCTCTACCCATTTTTGCGCCTCAGAAGACCACTTGAAACCTCAAGGACCCAAGGACTCGCGAACCACTCGCTTCATTTTGTCAGCCCTTTGTCTTAGCCTGCGGTGAAATGTTTGCACTGGGCATTGTCATCCGCAGGACGGGCAAAAGCCAAAGGAGTCAAGTGTTCATTATGCTCGAGGATGCCGCTCTCCGCTGGCCACTTGAGCAGTGTGAAAAAGTGGGAGCCATAGGACTCCATGCACTTGAAAAAATCATAACGATTTGGTGCTTGGCCCAAGAAAATGTTATGGAATTTCGTGAGTGTGTGCCAATTCGGCGAATTTCTATAAGGACTAAAAGCTTTAATTTCAAATGCTTCCCGTAATTTAATACAAGGTTCTCCATCAAGTTGGAAGGCCATTGGTAGAAGCTTCGCCAAGGTCATTGTAACGAAGGCATACTGTACATGCTTACATTCCTGAAAATCCCCTTGATTTTTGCCCTTTCTGTGTATTTTTTCCAAGTGTTCCAAAGGCTGACAGCCTTTTGCCAGATAAAACTGGTAAATAGAAAGGCTGCAGATGCCGCAGCTGCTGTTGCAGTCGCATTCCGTGGTTATTGTTGTGGCTGCTGGTGGCGAGGAGGTCCTCGAATTCCAAAGTGGCCGGGAAGTTGCGACGTCTGCAGATTGTCTGTTTGATTATTTGAGTAGAATTTAATTAGCAATAGTGGGCGGTTGTGAATTTAATGCATAAATCAAATGACAGTGGGTACTGTTTTCTGTTGGTTTCATTTAAGTTTTGGGTTTTTTTGGTTTGTTTTTTTTTCGGATGGGAAAAGAGGAGAGGATGGGAGGTAGCAGGAAGCGCCGGCAGGCAGTACGGCGACCTAATTGCCAAATGACCTGCATTTGGGCTCAAGATACAAGGAGCAAGTGGCTGGCCGGATTCGGGAAACAAGCGGAAGAGACGGCTGAAAGGCAAAAAACCAACAAACAGGAGGTAACTTTGTCGTTATTATCTTTTATTAACTGAGAAGCTCGGGGTTTGATGAGTTCCCAAAAGGCACGGAATGCCAAGACTGCAGAGCTGTATCCTTAAAGCGCGTGGTAGCAATTTAAGGAATTATATTTTCCACTGAGGGCATTGTCTTGCTTTTCTGCGCTGAAGGGTATAACCCACTTCGTTGCCCGAACTCAAACTTTCCACCTTTTCATTTCTGGCTCGCGGCATGTTTTTCATTTTCCTTTTCAATTACCCCGCCGCGACGTTCAGTTGGCGCATTTCTCATATATATTTTTTTGGTCTCGGGCCCGGGATTGTTTGTCCAACGGGGAGGAGGAGCAGCAGTGGCGGGTTTCCAGAACCAGGACTCAGGAACCCGGTTCCTGGATCCAGGATACGGGCGCTGCTCCTTGCACGGCTGCATGCATTTAAGTCTAATTGCGAGGCTGCATTGTGTGCGATATG